TACGGAAATCCGTTAACACAAAAATTATGTGTCGCATTAAGAATTGGTGAATCTTGTGCTTTAGCAGCTGTTATATATGCAATACTTTTCATGATATATACTCGTTTATACAGTTTAAAACAACCATCACTAAATATTCGTCGTCGTTATCCTCTATTATTATTAATAATATCATGGATTATATTATTTCTTTTTTATGGTATTCCATTTATGGCGACTTATTCAAGCTATCTTTTACCAGCAACATCAACAGCATCAAATACAACATCATATTGTACAACTTATACAACATCAATTTATCATGCACCATGGATGGCATATACAGAAATAGGAATTATTTATTCCTTACCATTAATATTTATTTTTATAGGTTTAATTTATCTTCTACAATATTTATGTCAGCCACAACCAAGACAGTCGGAATTAGCTGCAAGAAGAATATACCTTGAACAACGACAAATGACATGGCATACTTTTTTATTAGGTATAACATTTTTTTTCTTTGGCTTCCTTGGATTTCAATTCGTATTCTCATTATTTTTCTTCATATATACGCAATTCAACATGCTTTGCAAATAACTTATTATATACTTATACTTAAATCTTTAATTTTTCCTTTAATATATGCATCAACAAATGCATCATTTCGTGGTTCATTCGCTATTTATAGACATCAACGGGTAATTATGAATACTCGTGTATGGACAATCAATGAACAATATGGACATTCAATTCAACATCATCGTGGATATTAAAAAAAAAAAAAATAGCAGCAGACTAAATTTCATTCATTTTTTTTTGTGCTCAAATAAATATGATATATATATGAGAATTTCTTTTCTTTTTTTTTTTCTAAATATTTGTTAGTTCATTTATGAAATAAGTGTGATTAACATGATTGTTCATTACAAGTTTTAACTTGTTTATAATCACCAGTACAATTCATTCCGGCTAATAAAATATTATCAATAATAGTTTCAGGTTCAGGTACTGATGGTGATGGATCAGTACAAGTTCGAAAACGTCTTGTTTGACCAGTACCACAAGATTTCGAACATAGTGACCAATCAGACCATGGTGAAAAACCACCATCGACTTAAATAAGAAATTTTTTTTCCCATTGATTAAAACAAAAAAATTATCTTACCAATACATCTTGTTATAACAGCAAATAAATCACTAACATTATTAGATGTTTGCGTTCGATCATATTTACATTCATAAAAATCTTTTTCAGTTCCATCACATAATATACCCGGATAACAAGTAGAATTATGTCGAATAGGATTTAGAATAGCTAAATAAAAATAAAACAAAAAAATAATAAGAGAATAACATTATTTTCTATTTACCATATTGTGCACCACGTGAAAGACCAATTGATTTGCAAACCTTTATAAGAAAAGAATTTTTTTTTAAATATAAAGAGTGTCTAAAAGTTTCGACTCCTATATGTAAATTAACGTTATCCATATGAATATATATAGTTGACTAAAACATATAGTTTTTTAGAAAAAGATTAAAACTATAATCTGAAAATAAAACAGTTTGAATCGTATGAACATCATGAAAAATGATGGTTGCCTGAATAATCATAACTAAATTTTTTGTGACTTACATTGTTTTGCAAAAATAAAATATATTTCTGACATCTGAAGCGAACTATGTTTTCTAATAGAGAATGTCACAGAACGTAGGTCTTGCACATGTAAAAACAGAACAATTTTTTGTGACCCAGGATCTGGATGACACCGAAGTCATCTCACTGATCGAGATTCAATAAAGTTCTAATGTGATAGTAAAACTGGAGATGGTTTTTCATCATTTTCTACAGTAGCCAAAAAAGTGCATGCCACATCAGCAATCAGTGCTTCGATAGAAAGATTATTTAGCTCAGCTGGATTGAAATTTACTCAAAAATGAACGCATTTATCACCGGATCAAATCGATAAAATATTACTCATTCGTTCATAGAAGAAATTCAAGAATAAGCAGTGAAAGAAAAACTTATTCTTTCTCGTTGTCGTCTCTTTCAACTGATTACATTTTGAATCCTGTTTCCTTATTCATGATCTCAATAAGATTCAAATTTTGTTCTTTTCAGATAATAGTATTAATTTTTCTCTACAAGAAGAGTCGAACCTTTTGAGCCATCTTTTAGGATATTTTCATCTTACTAAATCAGCCATATGCTTTGCCATTCCAGTACTTTTTTGTGGTACACATAAAATATCACCTTCTCGAATAGCTAAATATCCTTTTAATGGATATTTATCTGGTTCAGTTTCTTTAATACCTAAAAGTAAAAGATGTTCATAGAAAGCTTCTTTTTTTTGTTCGAAAAAATATTTACCAGCAACACGTTGACAATTGGCTACACCACAAGCTCTTTGTTCATGTGTATAATTTCCACAGTTTGAATCAGGTGGAATACATGAACGATTACGTTGTTTTATACCAATACCACAAAATTTTGAACATGGTGTCCATGGTGTCCATGGACCATAGACTTAAAAATACAAAAAAGTAAAACAAATTCCTATTAGAAAATTAAAAGAGATCTACCTGGACAAGTTGTTATATTGCATGGTTGTATTTCAATATTTGTACCAATACAATTATCGCTTGGAATTTTTTGAGTTTTATCAGTAGATGATAAACATTCACGTTTACGAAATCGATAGCCTTCACCACATGTGACACTACATACAGACCAATCATTATAATCAGTCCATATACCAGTTTCTATCAAGGAATTAATTAATGAAGAAACAAAAAATAACAATATCCATATGAAAACAAAAAAAGAATTCTAACCTATTTTATCACAATCATCAGGTGTCGATTGTCCATTTAAACAAACACAACTTGGCATTTGTTTTCCTTCACGAATATTACTAACACAAATTGCACCTGGTTCACATTTAATTTTGTCACAAACATTCGGTTTAATTTCTTGCCGCTAAATAAATAAAATTATTTCAATAGTTATTCATCAAATTTGAACTTACTAAACTAGTTATATCATTATCAACAATTTTAGTTAAATCATCAAATAAAGAACATAATTTATTTGTCGCATCATAGAAAAAACCTGTACATATTGATTGATCTTTTATACATTCAATAGCACATTGACGTTCATTTAATATTTCAAAATCAATGTAAGATACCGATGTTGATAGACGTGAAGGTGTTAATCGTAATTGATTTAAAGTTTCTTCAGTAAATTTGATTAAATGTTGACCATTTGTATTCGTTATAGCAATAGCAACAATAAAAATATTTGAGAAAACCAGTATGAATCGCATTATCGATATTCTATTGAATGAATGTATGAAATGAAAAATATAAATAAGAAAAAGGTTTGCTGAATTCCTAAGAGAAATCGATTACGATCAATATTATTTCTTTTAGTTTATGAATGTGCACTAGTCATAAACTCTCTGACGTACACAAACAATTGATTTCATGTTGTTATTAATCTTACAAGTACTCCCAAGTGATAAGGTTGATATTAAATTTACGCATATAGAACGAGTTATTTTAATTGAAAAAGAAAACAATAGATGCTTGAGTTATTAATTGCAATGAAATACAAAATTTTACAATCTTGTTCGAGTTTATTCGACAACTCGAATTGTTATTGATGCAATCAAATTGAAATAATCAAAAAATTTTGCAAAATTGGAATAGTTTTCTTTTATTTATTTTAATCGTTAGATAATATAAATCTCTATAGCTATTCCGAGTACTATTTTTTTTCATTATATTTATCACATGTAAATCTTTTTTCTTTGATCAAAACGTAATATTTGTCTTCTTTAGTTTTTTTATCTTTTGTATGTATACAGAATTATTAATGTTAATCATCATGAATTATCATATAGTAAAGACATCCTTTCATACCCAAATCATCATCATTGACTAAAATAAGTGGAACACGAGCAACTATCTCACTCATTTTTGGTCCTTGATCTAAATAAGATTGAAGTAGAAGATTTTCAGAACTATTTTGCCATCGCCATGCAAGTTTAGGTAAAATACCACCAGTTATATATAAACCACGATAAGGTAAAAATGTTTGTGCTGCTGTACCTAATACTCGACCAAAAATATCAAGAAATGTATCAACAACTCGAAGACATAATGGATCATTATAATCATGAGCATGTTGAGCAATTATTGCCGGTGCATCATCTTGTAAGGCTTGTTGAAGATCATCATTAAGTTTTGATGTTAAAGATTGATTTAAATATTCTGAATAAAATTGTAACATTGTAACAAATGCGGGACCTGATACAAGTTGTTCAATTTCAATAAATGATTGATTGCGACGTAAATATTTAACTAAACACCATTCTTCTTCTGATCGTGGACTAAATGTATCAGTCATACCTGCTTCTGATGGATAAACTTGATACCGACCTGTACCATCCGGTGAAAGAAAACATGCACCAAGACCAGTACCAGCACCAAAACAAGCTATTGGTACATTTGTATCAGAATTACTTTCGAGAGAAACTTGATGAAGTGCATATATTTCAGTTAGTTTACATAGTTCATTTACTTGCGAATCAACTTGTGCAGCAAGACCATAACCAATAGCTTCAAAATCATTTAAAAATACTAAGGAATTAGGATTGAGTTTAAGATCATTCTCAATTACGTCTGCATGTTGTTGCGGCCATCTGGAACCATCAGATTCCATGAGTACATTATTCGTATCATTGCTTCGACGATTATTCCAAATAGGACCACATACAGCTAAAACTACTCGAATACTAGATAAACAAAGACAATCAAAGATTTCTCTTTTTTCTTTCAAATTATACAGTCGTACTTCTTATTTTTTATAGCACTAAGAACATCTTGTTGTTGTTGTTGTTGTTCACTTTGTATATCATTTAAAAAATGTTGTAATATTGCACTAAGACCTATGAATGTAATTGTTCGATAAGTTTTTCGAGTTACATTTACAATAGATGGTATTGGCATATGTTGATAGCGATTGTACCATAGTAATTGCAATCTTGCATTAGTACCGCCTATGTCACCGACAATTACTGCATAGGATTTTGACATGTTGGTCATTCAAAAATGAGATAAAATTTCGACTATTGCAAGTAAATTAATAGTTTGTTATTATCATTGACTGTTCTTATCGTATTCTTCTTCTTTACAATTGAAAGATAAGTATTGTTGAGAACATTTTTTTTCTGTTTCTTTCGACTTTTACCTTTCATTCTTTATATTACTATCTATTCTGAATGAATAAAATTAAATAGAAATTAAAGATAATTATTACTATATGTATTGAATTTGATTATATTTAATTTTTACTTAAGCTTCTGGTACATCAAAAAAAAAGTGAAAGTTAAGGTAAATGCATCAGAGGAATTGTCTGAATTCTAATCCGTTATAAGCGATATAATTTTTTATTTGGCACCTTGTTTTTTTCCAAAAATTTCTATCGTTTCCTGCTTCAAAAATTCGCTTTAGTCAGAAAAAACTGATTTTTTGTTCTCTTTTTCTCTGTGTATGTTTTTTTGATTGCACAATCCAGAAACCTTTGTGAACTTTCATTCTGTATATTTAATTGTTATTTGTTTGAAAGAAAATATTAAGATGTAGGGCATGACACAGTTCATCTTTTTTTTCGTTAAGCTTTACTGCTATTATATAAAAAATCACTTTTAAGCATTTCTTCCTTTACAAAGTAAGAATTAAAAAGAAAAGCATTCTATCTCATAGT